TATATATATATATATATATATATATATATATATATATATTTCTTCCTTGTTTGTTGTTTCGGATTGAGTGACTAAGAAACGTTATTTCCAATGAAATATATTCTTTACATGTAAGAAGATAGGAGTGTAAGCTTATTTCGACTAACCTCACTACTCTTGCATGCGCCTGAAGCCAACTATAATTAAGAATGGTAATGATTAATTGACTGAGAGATGATAAGAGATAGTAAGAAATGATTAATTTCCTTTTTGTTCTCTTGGTGGCAAAATTGGTGGCTATCGATGTTCGCCGATAGCCAAGACCTCCTCGATCCTCCCCAGGGAGGGGGGAGTTGTGACGTGGCGTCTTGAAATCGCTTGTCACAAGGAGCGTTTATATCCTATTATGAGTGTTCTGCATCTGTCCGCTTGAAGGAAGAGAATGCGGATGAGACTCGAAATGGTGCGCCATTATATTTTCCACTTATATTTTCGTATGGATTTATATTTTTGCCTGTTTTCGCCTTTATTGTTGTTGTTCTCCGCTTAGTTCTCTATTTATTACGATATTGTGGCGAAACGACTATCGGGATATCGATGTAAGATGAGATGCCTCTCACCGACCAACTTGACCGGAACAGAAGAGGATGCTGCCATCAAAGCAGAAATAGGGGTACTCTTCTATCCAATTTGCCGATATTTATACGTAAAGTTACTATACTGTAATGGAATATTTATAGAAAATCGTGAGGCTGATCGATGCAATGCGGGAATTAAAGAACGACCGAAGAAGAGGCGTCACTCCGCGTGAAGCTGCAAGAAGATCCCATGAGAAGGACTGGCCAGGAATCAAAAGGGGAAGCAATGTCGAGCCAGGAAAAATAGCTACCTTCTGCCGGAAATCAAATGCGGAAACTCCGTGAGATCACCAGCCAAAAGGAAAAAATCGCTTTTTGACTCCCGCAGGGTCAGCGGATCGCGGGCCCGCGTCTGAATAATAGATTTATTGGCCGATCGCGGCGCTAATCTATGAATAGAAGAGGGATGACGACCATGCCGTGTCGCCGAAGGATGAACAGGACCTTCACTTTTCGTTGAGTGATAACAGTGCGGACGCAGGGGCCATCTGAAAGAAATACGTAAGGAGAGGACGTGAGGAGGACCCGAGTGTTGCCGTCGTTTGGTGAGGCGAACCGTAAAATTTCTGTACAGCCATCAATTTCACTGGTGAATCGGATAAAGAGCACAAGTGCTGGCCACCGGAATTTCGCGGGGAAATACGTGATCTGCATGACCGTGATATCCGTTTTGCTTCTCGGTGGCGTACCGCTCTTCTCGATTAGATTTCCAAATTTCACGTCGCGTCTTTCTCTTGTTACCATCGAAAAGTCTAGCTTAAATTGCGCTTTCGCCTAATTCTTGTATAGTTACCGTGTGTAGTATAGAGTCGCGAAAATGAAATAGCTTCCGTTACTTTAATGTGATATAATATTTTGTTGTATAATTTGGCATATTTTTGTAAGCTCGAACAGGCGACAGCATTGTTCCGAAATATCGTTGCCGCGTGCATTTCTGAGCAATATACCGTACTGTCATTATATTTTGTTAACTTGAAATTTTCGTTTGTGTAATTCTTTGTCATTACGAGATTCGAGATACTTCGAAATACTATTGCGTCGTGAAAGAACGACCAAGATAAATGAATGTAACTATTCGAGCTGAAATTAAAGTCATTCTTATTGTCTCCATACTTCTTATTGTACGACATTTTATTCCTTCTTTCTCGCGCCCCGTCTCGTGAATTCTCCTTTCTACCATCTATAACCGAGCTGCTGAATCATCGAGTCAGCGAATCTGAATTAAAACGTGTGACATAAATGTTGCGATCTTTTCATTGTGATTGAGTGCACATGCTCGTGCCTAGCGCCCAATCTGTCGCTAAGTTACGTTCGCGAGACTGATCTCAGGGGCGGCGGTCACAAGCTCTTTTTTTGGATATTTTTATAAAGGTAATAAGAAGTTAGTTAGCTATTTAGCGTGATTTTGATTCGTTAATCGTGGATTCATCATATCTGACATCTAACGTTTGACATCCAAGAAGAATTCTTTTAATTTTAGATAAAATTCGTCGGAGATAAAGATGGAGCTATCTAGAATTTTATAAAAAAACACGAAAAAATGAAATCTCCCATTGGTTATACGTTCAAATCGTCTAACCAACGGAGCGATAGAAATATACGCAGTGGTAGCCTAGAGATGGCGTGTTAATTTACACTTTCTCATTCTACTTCTAAAGAAGACTCAATCAAAAAGTACAGTACTTGAGATTTTATTTTCCATTACATGAACCATTGGTATTATCAGAATTTTACGCGCATATTTACAAATTTTTTTGTAATGGCACACAACAAAATACATAATATAGAAAATATAGATAACAGATAGTAAATACAATGATGCTGTATAGTATAATGATCTAATTGAAGTTGTAACAATTAATTGTTTTGTAGTCATTGTTTTAATAATGGGAAAGGTATGACGGTATACACAAAAATTTAAAAAAGAATGGTTAAAGCAAAATATTTTTGCAAATTGGCTTTTAGAATGTCCTATCGGTCCTACAAAGAGCTCTTTGTAAATATTGTAGATGTAAAATCAAGACAAAATTGTCCAATTTAATGCACCATTCAAAGACAAAGAAATATATCAAAGTTATAAAACCATTTTCATCATCCAGATCTCATCAGTCAATATTAGATCATGTTATGTCTGGGGAACTTTACGAATCCTTCTCTTTCAGGAAGAAAAAATTAACGGCCGCTAACCCATAAACGGAGCACTTCGAACGATCTAAAGAAACCCTAAATAAACAAACTTTCTCTCGAGATATGTCTCACTGTCAAAAAAAATCCTTGGTAAACAACCTTGTCGGCGCCGACAAGTTTACGACTTACCAATAAAAAATTAATATTAACAAAAGCAAATTCCTAACGGATAAGAAACGCGTTGGATCGTTCGGGGGTGACACTCCCCAAATTGATGGGGAAACACAAAAAAACGCCAGTTAAGAAGAAACGATTAGTGGCCGTTGGCGGGCACACCAATGAACGATTGAGGGTGTGAACTAGCGGGAAAATTTTTATTAACTAATTCTATTATTCGCTGGGAAATCTGGAAATATAAAAACAACCACAATTCACAGAACACCGCTCCCCTCCTTCCTCTATATTCACAATTTTCCTAAACTATCATTCGACAAACCAACACGAAAATCCATCACGCCCTCAGATATTCTCACCCCTCCGGAACCCTTTAAAAACCGCGACTTGGAGCGGATCGCTCTCTTCTTCCTGCTTCATCGCTACATTCATGGTCGGCACCATTCGAAATTATTACAGTTAGAATCTGTGCGCGACTTTATTATTTTCGAGTGATTCAACGATCCAGCCTGGCAATTGCATTCCTCGACCATCACCAGCGGCCGCTGCAACAAAAGTAAGTCCAAGTTTATCATTTCCCCCCCCCCCCCGCGGTAACTGGCAGTTTGGTTCGCGACCTCTTATTTATCTTATTTATCTCGTTAAAACACTCCAACATTCCAAATTGGCAAGCCGCCGATTAACTCGGTGAAGCTGCCTCCCCCGATTCCACAACATTCTATTCCACAACCTTCTAACCTGGCAAACCGCCGATTAACTCGGTGAAGCTGCCTCCCCCGATTCTACAACATTCCAACCTGGCAAGCCGCCGATTAACTCGGTGAAGCTGCCTCCCCGATTCCACAATATTCCAACC